ACATAATATTATACAATACAATATAATATTATACAACACAATATAATATTATACAATACAATACAGTATAATATATAATATAATTACATTATATTATATCATAATATATATAATATAATATAAATACAATATTAATAGTATTATCAATATGTATATGTATATGTATATAGCGGTAATGCGGGTTACAATCGGTCGAGGAGCCTCTTAGTCGTGTAGCATACAAATTGTATTCACTATAACAGGAATATAATATTATAAATAGACTTTAATGTATTAGAGTTCTTTCTACAGAATTTTTAGCGTGTCGTTTTGCCGAGACTCGACGCGTCGCAGTGTGAATCGGCTCTCGATATCGTGCATTAAAAATTCTTCTCTACGTTCCATTGTTTATGCTGTTTTCTTTTTCTTTTTTTTCTTCTTTTCTTTTTTATAGTTGCTCGTCTATTGTTTGATTTGTTCCAGGTCAATTGGCTTCCATAGACATTTTCAACGATAGCAACATTGGCTCTCTAATCAAGCGAGTGGCATACTATGGGTTAATGAGAGAATGTAAGAGAGTTTGGATTAAGGAAATTATACGTGGTAATTAACGATTAATTAGGAGATATTCGAACTTGCATGGCTTCTTCGAGTTTGCGAGAGGTTTATTGTGACAGAGTGTGGGAAAGTAGAAATATGGGAAGTCATTTTTTTAAATGATTAAGAAATTCGAATTTGAATTTGTGAGGGAAAGTGTCATTGACGTTGATTTTATTGGAGATCGACGATTGTCATTATTGAGGATGTACTGGAAAATGATTTTCAGATGACGTCGTTTTTTTAATAAATTGATGATTTTCAGATGACGTCGTTTCTTAATAAATTGATGATTTTTCAGATGACGTCATTATTAAATAAATTGAATAATTTTTTTAAATGACAGCATAAGAACGTAGAAATATGAAAATTAATGATTTTTTTTACGCAATCAATATAGAAGTTTGAATTTGATGACGCGATTTTTAAATAAATTGATGATTTTCAAATAACGTCATTTTTAAGTAAATTGAATGATTTTCAAATAACGTCATTTTTAAATAAATTGAATGATTTTCAGAGGACGTCATTTTTTAATAAATTGATGATTTTCAGATCACGTTATTTTTTAATAATGTAATGCTTTTTCAAATGGCGTCATTTTTTAATAAATTGATGATTTTCCGATGACGTCATATTTAAATTAATTTTTTTCACAGTGTAGTTCCAGCATTTGAACAATATTATTAAACAATAATCAATTTCTCTAATAATGTGCACTGTATAATATACACATTTCCTTGGGCGTCACATAACCTCTCTTTCCGAAATAATTTTAAAGCAGGATCACTTCGCTAAACGCTTTGGCGAATAAAAATATTTCCTTGTACATCTGTCAAGTACACGTGTCGAAATTTCGTGTAACATTTCGTTTGAAGTTTCACTGGTGCACGTCGTTGCATTTTTATTCTCGAAATATCGAGTTACATGATAACGCACGTCGCGGATCGATGACGCGTACTGAAATTAAAGCACGTTTAAAAGATTTTGTACACTTGGCCTTTTGGCAACATCGTTTCGCGAAAATCAGCGTATCAGCGAAACCTGCTTCCATTAATAGTCTATTGTGTACATGTGATGTACTGTATACATGAAAGATTCTTAATAATTCAATATGAACAAATATTACAGTAAACATGAAAATTGTTGATAAAACATTATTAACGTTTGGGTCATCAACGCAAATAATTACAAAAATATAATTAGACAAAAGATTCTTAATAATTCAACACGAACAAATATTGTAGTAAATGTGAAAATTGTTGATAAAAAATCATTATTAATATTTAAGTCATCATTGACGCAAATAATTGTAAAAATATAAATATATGAATTTTTTACGTTTCATTTTATATATCATTGAAAATATTTCGAAACCAAAAATTTAAACTAAAAATTCTTGCAATTTTAATAATTCAATAAGCATGAATATTGTTAAAAAAAAGTCATCAGAATTCAGGTCATCACGATACAAACAATTGTAAAAATACAAATATGAATTTTTTATATTCCATTTTAAATATCATTAAAAATATAGGTTAAAAATTCCAGCAATTAAAAAAAAGATGAAATATTATTAAAAAGTTCCCTTTCATTTTACTTTTTTATCAAAAAAGCACGTTCGCACTGAATAGGTTAGAAATCATAATAATTTGCCAAGTAACACAGCACAAAAGAGAAATATAAAGAGTGACTTGCCAAAACCTATTTGAATAAAGCGATTAAAAGCAGAAAGCATTTTATCCTTTCAGAGTGCCTCATCACATTTGACGAAGTTACGAAGAAATTCGTTTGCACAGAACGTATCACAAAGCATCAAATTTACGAAGGAAATTAAACCAAATTGGCGCGAAGAAACATAACCTATAAAACAAAATACAGAGAGGTTATTGAATATTTTAAAAAATTATTAATAATAGAAATTTTGAATATCAAATATTTTACAAAATTATTAAAAAAAATTTTAAATATTAAATATTTTACAAAATTATTAAAAAAATTTTAAATATTAAATATTTTACAAAATTATGACAAAATTTATAAATAATAAAATTACATATAAACAACAAGAGACACAACAAATTAAACCATGTATCTTATATCAAAGATAATAATAATTAATATAATCAATTT